CTTCAGCATCATTCCCTGTAAGTATGATGTCGTCAACATATACTAATAAGACTATTAGTAAAGATCCTATGTGTCTGACAAAGAGAGAGTAATCGGCTAGGCTTTGCTTGTATCATAGAGTGATTAATGTAGAAGTCAATTTGTGATTCCATTGGCGACTGGCTTGCTTCAGATCATAGATGGACTTATGTAATTTACAGACGAGATTGGGATGTGAAATGAGAAGTCCCGGTGGAGGTTTCATATATACTTCCTCATTTAAATTCCCATGAAGAAAAGCATTATCAACATCTAGTTGCTCAATATACCAGTTGTTAGTACATGCCAAAGATAATAACAATCTCATTGTGGTAAGTTTTGCAACAGGTGAATATGTTTCAAAAAAATCAATTCCTTCTGTCTGTGTAAAACCTTTGGCGATGAGTCTGGCTTTGTATCTTTCAATAGAACCATCATATTTTAATTTAACTTTATAAACCCATTTGCAACCCACTGCCTTTTTACCTGGAGATAATTTCACCAGGGACCAAGTTTTATTGTTTTCAAGAGCTTTAATCTCAGTAAGCATTGCTTTTCTCCAGCAATCATGTTCATTGGCTTGTTTGAAAGAAGAGGATTCAGAATGAAGTGAAAGGGAATGACAGTAAGAAATGTATTTAGGAGAACAATTGGAGAAATTAAGTTGTGGTTCCAAGGAATAAGGAGTAGAAGAATTGGTAATAGCATTCCCACAGTAGTAAGCATCAAGGTAACCTGGAGCTTTCTTAAGTCTTTTGTTTGAAGTGATGTTTGGAATAATGGATTCAGATGATTGAGAATCAGGAGTTGGTGTAGGAGGAATGATGACAAGATCAGAAGAATCTGTGGAATGTATTTGAGATTGGAATGGAAATTGAGTTTCATATAATAGAACATTTCTGGAAATGAAAATATTTCCAGAATGAAGATTGTATAATACGTATCCTTTAGTGGTTTCTTTAAAACCCAGAAAAATGCATTTATGAGCTCTACTGTCCAATTTGGTTCTGTTTGCTGTAAGAGTGCTAGCAAAAGCAAGGCAACCAAATACTTTTAAATTACTCAGATCAGGTTTAGAATGAAAGGTTAGCTCAAAAGGAGATTTGTGATCTAGAATAGGAGAAGGAATTCTATTGATAATGTGGATTGCATGTTTAACAGCAAAGGACCAGAATGTTTTAGTGAGTTTAGCTTGAAAAAGGAGTGCTCTAGTGATGTTGAGAATATGTTGATGCTTCCTTTCAACAATGGAATTTTTTTGAGGACATTCAACACATGAGGTTTCATGGATGATGCCTTTGTTGTTATAGAAATTTGGTAGGATGAATTCCTTTCCATTATCAGACCTAACTTTCTTGAGTTTGAGGTCAAATTGATTTTCAATTTTCAGAATGAAGTTCTGGAGAATGGTTTTGACTTCACTCTTTGTTTTAAAAAGGTGAGTCCAAGTGAATCTAGTGAAGTCATCAACTACAGTAAGGAAGTAGCTATAACCATCAATGGAAGTTACAGCTAAAGGACCCCAGATATCTACATGTATGAGTTCAAAGAACCTAGCAGTTTTTGTTGTGCTATTGGGGTATGGTAATTTCTTTTGTTTAGAGAAATGACAAACATCACAACTTGAAAAAGAAGAATATGGAATGTAAGAATACTGACTTGACAATTGTTTTAACAGTATTAGAAACATGACCAAATTTGAGATGCCACAACAAAGAAATGTTAGTTGGGCTAGAATCTACATTATTACAAGATTTTGGGAAACTGTGATGATTAAAAGAAAGATAGAACATGCCTTGATGCTTTTTAGCTATACCAATCTTCTTCAATGTTTTTTTCTGCAAGATGAAACAATTTGAAAGATCAAAGATGATGAAGTGTTGACTGTTAGACAAAAGTTTTGGAATAGAAATCAAGTGTGCAGAAAAGCTAGGAACAAACAGAACATTTTCAAGGATTAATTGCCCTAGAATAACAGTTCCTGCAAACTTGGAGAGAACTAAAATGCCATTAGGAAGTTTAATGTGCACAGGAGGAATGGATTTTAGAGAAGAAAATAAATGTTGAGATGGACAAATATGATCTGTGGCACCACTATCTATAATCCAATGAACCATAGAGGAAATGTTACCAGGCAGATTGAGAGTAGATGTGGAAGCATGATGAACTGAAGGGTTGGAAATCTGAGAATGCTGAAGAAGAGCCAGAACATTCTGATATTGCTCTTTAGACAATAAAAATTGATCCTGAGTGTTATCCTCCTCCAGAGTAGGGGACACCGAGTTATCAGCAAGGTCCATATAAGCTAAATGTGATGATGAAGTGGTTGTATTTTTGTTTTTGTATCCGGGTGGATATCCATGGAGTTCAAAACATGTATCACGAGTGTGATTGTTCCTGCCACAGTAATCACAGTGTTTTTTTCCTCTGCCTCTTCCTGTGCCTTGAGTTCTACCACCACGATTGTTGTTGAAGGTTCTACCACCACGAGAATTGTGAAAACCACCACGAGGCTTGAATACATTTTCTGAAGGTTGATGATAAGTTGAGCTAGAATCACCAATGGCTGCTAACACAGTTGGATTGGAGGATTGAGAGATTGAAATTGGTATTCCAAACTCTCGTTCTTGTTGTAGTATGAGATTGAAGGTTCTGGTAAGAGTTGGTATTGGAGATGTTAACATGAGTTGAGAACGTGCTTGTGAAAATTCCTCGTTCAATCCTCGTAGAAATTTAATGACATAATCATCCTCTCTTTCTTTTATTATCTTTTGTAGAACACCACAAGAGCAAGGGATTGAACATTTGCATATAAGGGCTGTGTGAAATTGTTCGAGTTCTTTCCAGAGGGCTTTAAGTCTGGTAAAATACTCTGTAACAGAAGTGCCTTGATGAAGGTTCTGAATCTCTTCCTGGAGATCTGCTATGCGAAAAACATCACCATGTGAAAATCGATCTCGCAAATCTTTCCAAATTTCATGTGCTGTGTTAAAATAGATGACAGATCCAGCTATTGAAGATGTCATGGATCGCATTAACCATGCCATAACCATACGATTGCAGCGACGCCATGGTTCTCGCAGAGGATCAGTTGCGGATGGAGAAGGAAGTGAACCGTCAACAAACATATCCTTGTTCTTTGATTCGAGCATAGCGATCATGTTGTGACGCCATGAATGATAATTCTTCTCTGTGAGAAGATTAGGAACCAAAATAAGAGTCGGATTTTCACTTGGATGAAGAAATAGTGGATTGGAAGGATTTGTGAGATGATCATGAACAAGATCATCACGAGATTCAGAAGATCTCGTAGTGACCATAGCTGCGTTTTACTCAAGAACAATCGAGAGATGGAGTTGCGTCTGATACCATATTAGCATATGAATCAAGATGAAAAATGTATTATTATTGATCTGAATGTACAAAGGGAGTATATAAACGAATACAATTTGATTGGGTTGACCAGCTGGCTTATTTGTTCTAACTAACTGTACGGACTAACTGGATTAGTTGTATATCAGCTATATTATATATTTACAAATATAAACTTTGATCAAAATAATGATCATATACTAATATCCATTCATTGGGTGCACACAACTTTGGCCCCCATGGTAGATCTCCATTAATATCTCTCTCCGCAGGATTTGGGCACACCAAAAAAGAATGCCCCAGCAAACCGCACGAGAAACAAAAATATGGTAGGAATTCATACTGGATATCACACCAGAAAGCCTTTTTTAGACGCATTGAATCAAGGCCAACCCAGTGTTGAATGGGTTCATTCACCGTCGCGCTTCCTTCCGTTCCGGTCTCTTTGCCGGACGTCGACATGATCATTCTCTAGGGTTGTTGAGATGAGATCCTACTTAGCTTTTTTACGTTTTAAACACGTTTCGCACGTATCGTTTTTTAGTACAAAAACACGTTTAAAACTAAAAATAATGTCGGTCCGTTTAAAAAGGAAAAAAACTCTTACTTTCCGTAATAAAAGTATTTTTTCTGTATTTTACAAAAAATAGAAACATGAATTGATCAATTAAATGAATGCATTAAATGCATAGGAGATCAACAATAGTTTAAAAGCAAAAAGGAAAACCTCCTCTCTGTGGCCCCGTGTGTTTGGATTGTTACAATACAAAATATACAATTATTAAATACTAAAATTAATTGCATGGTGGATAAAGTTGACATCCTAATAGACTAAAACTTAAAATACTACTAGATTTCTGATGTTTTTTCAAACAAGCATATCAAAATTAAGGGTTTTTTATAAACCTTATATTTTTTAGTATAAACGTTTACACATAAACAATAATAAACGTAGCAATCGAACAACTTTTCTCATATGTCACCCGTCATCTTGATGAAAATGACGACTTTAACTTCAGTGTTATTTGATGATCATATAAAGATATTGATTTTAACTTAGTCTCAGTCTATTGTTAGTATGCCTTATTTTTTGACATTATATTTTGTAAAATTATGTCTTAGACTTAATTACTGTTTTTATTTTTGTCATCGACTTATGCTTTTACGAATAATTCTTTTATGTAGTAATGGGATATGCTACTTGAAAATGTGTATTATGTTATTTCTTTTTACTATATATGTTATTTTGTGAAGTATATAATTTAAATGCTAAAAATAATACCCGTGTTTTTTGTCCGAATTTTTGTAACAGATATCGTATTATACATGTATACGTATTTACACGTTTTTTAAAAGTCAACGTTTTCTTTCAACGAATTTTTGACCGTTTTTTCATTTATGTTATCGAATAAAACGCGTACGTATTAAACCTCGTTTAATTCACGTACCGTATTTAACTAAATCTCCTAATTAGATGTACTCAAGTTAAAACTGATGAAAATGGAACCAGAACCATATGTCCATCTATAAGGAAAATAGTGGCTGTACTATAAGTGGACAGTAGCCCAATACAAAATGATTGTAAAATAGCTCTACCATTTGAGCTTAAACGGGCCTAAAGCTCATTTACGATAACTAGTTACAGAGCATTTCATTGTTGGGTATGACTTTGCCTTCCATTCTGTGATCCATTTTCAATTTTTTTTGCCCGTCGTCTTACTGCCATGGCCGCGTCTGCACCAAGCTCACGACCTCCATCGAAACTCTACGATGCCGTAATCTCCATCGTCTCCGCCAAGCACCTGAAGAATGTCAATTGGAGAAACGGTGATCTCAGCCCCTACGTCAGCTTCTGGATCGACGCTGGTCGCCGTTTCTCGACAAAGTCCGACGATTCCGGTTCCACCCGTCCGGTATGGAACGAGCGGTTCGTGGTTCCTCTAACTCTTCCTCCTGAGGAGTCGGTTCTCACTCTCGAAATCTTACACTCCAAACCGTCCGAGATAGCTAAGCCTTTGGTCGGAACCCTAAGGATCCCCCTTAGGGACCTGGCGGACCTCGATGATGCCGCAAAGATAAGAAATTTTGAGCTTCGTCTTCCATCCGGTCGTCCTCAGGGCAAGATCCGACTCAAATTAGGTATACGTGAGCGCCCCAACCCGAATTTCTCAGTCTCACCTCCAGCTTCTAGCTACTATTTCCCACCAGCTCCTCCGCCGCCACAATTCTCACCTGATCCTAGAGGATATAATCTTCCTCCGTATAGCCCACATCATTATTCGACTCTCCCCTCTCCAGCTCCTCTTCCTAACCCCCATCCTTATCCGCACTGCGGATACACTGATCCATACCCTAACTACTACTCCGGTTACTACTCCCACGCACCCTATCCGCCACGGCCGTTCTCAGACAGGCAATCCAGCTATTCTAGGCCGGGGCCAAGTGCGCCAGTGGATTATGCACCGCCTTATGATCACACTCGTGGCGGAAAGATCGGATTAGGAAGTGGGCTGGCAGTTGGAGCGGTGGCTGGAGCATTAAGTGGGCTGGCACTGGAGGAGCGTTTCAAGTATGAGGAGGAGAAGATTGGTGAGAGTGGTTTTGCTGCTAGGGATAATTTCAGTGATTACCATGGTGATTATTAGTATTGCTCCACACTAATATGCCCCCCCTTATAGTTTCTCAATTTGCATGACTATAGTATGTATATGAAATATGAAAACTTGGTGTTTGAACTTGGATGATATAAGGTGAGTCTCTTTTGGAAATAATGTGTGTTGCATATATGCCTATTGTTCATTCTTGTGATACTATTATGGGGGTGTTTGGATTTGATTTTTAAAACCGCTTCTGCTCCTTCAGGGAGGAGAAGCAGAAGTTGGAGTGTTTGGGTAAAAGTGCAGAAGTGATTCTGGTGCTCTAATTTACTCCTATAATCAGTTTTTTAGAAGCTGGGGGTAACCAGCTTCTGAAAACTGATTCTGCTTCTGCTTTAAAAAAAAGCAGAATCAGAATCAGTTCCAAACACCACCTATAATAACAATAATAATAATGACTTCAATGTTCATTCTCATGGCATAATGTATCTCTGTTCTAAACTTCAGTCTAGTTGCTAGGTGCCTAATTGACTATCTTCAACTTAATTGCTTTTCTCATATTGCTCTTTGTCACTTTGCCCCTACAATGTACTCCTTGCTGCCAACTGCCAAATACATACTTCCTCCTTCGTTCCATAAAAGTTGTAACATTGGAATTTATGCACTATTCACACACCTTACTTTGAGTACGATTTTCTAATAATATACTACCTCCCCCTGTTATTGTCCCATTGCGTTTACGATGCTTGACTGACGATAAAGCAAACATATTCTTGTCCGCACTAGAATTATTTTTAGGGAAAAAATTGCATATTCAGAAACTACATTAAAAGGTTTACAAAGTCGCAAAATCCAGAATCAAATTTGATAAAAAATTGATAAATAAAGTAAGAGATTAAGAGTTATTTGTGTTGACCAAGTGAAAAGGAAATGAGACAATAATAGGGGGACGGAGGGAGTATATAATAAAAATATTATGTATAAAATATTAATAAATTTGTATTAGTGTAAATTTCCAATATATTAACTTTTTTTAACGTAAATAAATATAATTACATTTAAAGTTGCGTGTTGATAAACGTGAAAGTCAAACTGTTGCAACTTTTATGGAATTGAGGATAGTATGCATTAACTATTTTGGTTGTATAGCGTCATGCCAAATTCCCAATAAGCTAAACATTGTACCTTGTAAGTGTTTCGATCACCGCTTGGTTATTTCCGGTTGGGAATGAAGAAAAAACATCTTGAACTGAACTGAAATTTGTTGATCTGATTTGAACTGGTCTGGTTTGGTAAATATCTAGTTTTTGTGTATTTTGTAACTATCAAAGTCTGATTAGGAAACAATTAAGATTAATTTAAGTTGACCGTATGAATAGTGAATGAGGAGTTAATTTTGGGACGAATGGAGTACTACATATTTTACAATAGCTATACATAGGGGTGGGCGCGGTCCGGAACGGTCCGGGAAATTAGTAAGATACGTAATGTTTGCGTGAGGTTTCTAACAGTTCGGTACGGATAGGTTCTAAGGATGGAATCATTCGGTACCATGTTGTTTCAGAACGGTACAAAACGGTACGTTATAATGTCAAATAAATGCTAAAACATTGGACAAATCTTGCAATATGTAAATAACATCACACCAACCAACTCACATTAAGTCTTGATATAAATACAAGAAATTGCATATGTAGTACTAAAATTCACAAATAAACAAATAGTGCAACACAACTAAGATAAAATATAGCAAAATGGTGACACATGAGATAAATATCTTCTTTCATTAACTAAGTTCATGTGAAAATATTAAAAAAATCATATTGTACAATATAATAGAAAATTTCAATGTTCTTCTTCTTTGTTCTAGGTTATATATTAGTTCTAATTTAATTTAAATTGAACCGTGAGAGCTAAAATTTAAACCACATTAATTAAGTTGTACAATTGCACAAACATAATACAACAAAAAGTCATATACACTACATTACTACAAATGAATAAGCATTAATGATTTTTAGAATTTTAACATTTTTTCAATACATACCAAAATATAACACAAAATTATCTAAAAAGAAAAAATAACAATATACATATGAACACACACATTTAGGGATGGACTAAACTGGCCCGGAACCGCTACTGTGCGGGCCCGGATCGGACTGGGACCGGTTGGCCGGTTCCGGGCTTTTAGCCCGTTTGGGCGGGTCGGGCGGGCCGGGCTCGGGCCCAGTTTTGGGCGAACCGGCCCGGGCGGTTCGGGCGGGGCCCGGGTCATTTTTTTTTTAATTTTTTTCTTTTCCTAGGATAGGGCTGGGTGTTTTAGGGAGGTTTGGGGGTGGGGGTGAGGGGGGGGGGGGGGGTCGGGGGATCACAAGAAAGCAAAAAAAAGAAGTTAGACATTGAACCGGGCCCGGCCCGGCCCGGTTAGGCCCGGACGCGGTATCAACCCGGGCCAGTTCCGGGCCCAAGTATTTGCAAAAAAAGCCCGCCCGGAACCGGATCCGGACCGGCCCGGATCCATCCCTACACACATTTAGCTATTTTAGGGACACAGGAATACATATTTGGGTATAAAATTGTTGGTCCATAAAATATATTTATTGGTATGGAAGAAAAAATATAAAAAAAATCAAATGCATTATTTTTTATCGATCCAGTCCAGTATTTTTCAGTTTCTCAAAACCTAGTACCGATCTCGTACCCCGTTTTAAACAGTTGGTTTCGATTCGGTTCAGTACCATTATGGACCTGTTCGGTACTAATTCGGTTCGCGTTTTTCCCCACACCTTTTGGAATATGATATAATACATAATATCTAGAAAAATCAACATATAGGTACTACTACATATTAAAATTTTAAGACACCTTATACAAGTGAGCCTCGGTGTCTTGCACCTCTTAAAAGATGACTCTGGATGTCGGGTTACATTATTGGAACCAAGGCTGAGTATTGCAGTTCCTGTTTTGTCTCGAGTCTCAACTTTCAACGACTGCTTTGATTGCGTGACCTTAGGGATGGACTGGGTCGGGCCGAACCGGCCCGGAACCGGACCGACCAGCTACTGTGCCGGGCCCGGGCCCAGTTTTGGGCGAACCGGCCCGGGCGGTTTGGGCCAGGCGCGGGTCACTTTTTTTGTTTTTCCAATTTTTTTTCTTTTCCTATGATTGGGCTGGGTGTTTTGGGGAGGTTTGGGGGGTGGGGGTGAGGGGGGGGTCAGGGGATAACAAGAAAGCAAAGAAAATGAAGTATTGAACTGGGCCCGGCCCGGATAGGCCCGGACCCGGTAGCAACCCGGGCCGTTTCCGGGTCCAAGGAATTGCAAAAAAAGCCTGCCCAGGCCCGGGCCCGACCCGGAACCGGAACCGGCCCGGGTCCATCCCTACGTGCCTTATACACATAGTAGGCATGGACCCGGTCTCACGGGTACAACCCAACAAGAATCGGGTTCCACACTATGCGAGACCGGAGTCACCGGACCAAGACCATTTTTCTTGTTCTATGCAAAGACAGGATACCCAACCACGTGTATAGGATATCCAGTCCCGATCCAACAATTGGGGGACCATACCGATCAATCCTTGTTTCGACCACGACCGTTTAGAAAATGGCCTTGAAAGTAGGGGTGGATTCGGTTCGGGCCACCCGGCCCGTGATCTGGCCCGGCCCGGTAATGTGCGGGCCCGGGACCGGCCCGGTCGGGCGGTCCGGGAACGGGTATGGACCCGAACCGGTGGGAATGGGCGGGGCAAGCTCAGTGCTGGATTAATGTGACCCGGCCCGACCGGGTCGGGCCCGGGTCCGGTCTTAAGATTTAAAAAAAAAATTGGTTCTTGGGCTACTAGCCGTTGGGGGTGGGGGTGGGGACAACCCAAACGGCTATATAGCCGTTGGGTGGGGTAAAGGGGGGGTCCGGGGGGTTGGGTGGTGGGGGTGGTGGTGGGGGGTGGGGGGTAAAAAAACCTATAAATACTCCTAATCTTAAACATTTTTTCATCTCTTCTCCAATTCTTCCTAAATCCTATTCTTAACTCTCTACTCTCTAATTCTCTTATTCTCCAATATATTATATTTATTATTTATATATCTACTTTATAGTTTATACTTAAGAAGTTAAGATGGAAAATCAAGATGCCATTATACGGTATAATTTTGATAAGCAGAAGGACCCGAAGACCGGGATGTGGTACGCAATTTGCAAATGGTGCGAGAAAAAATGTAGCATGGGGGTTTCAGGCGGATTCGGGATGTGGCAATCAAGCATATGAAGTCATGTGACAAAGCCAAAGGATCGGGAGGTGCGGGAAGTTCTGATTGATTACAATTTTCAAAATGTTTATCTCTTAAAGTTTGTTTTAATTTTCAAATGTAGTTCCTATTTCATTTCAAATAAATGCAATTGAAGTTTGTTTTTAATACTCGTATAAAACTATAAACTATAAAATATAAATTATAAAAAATAAATTTAACCGGCCCGGTCCAAACCGGACCCGACCCGTGACCCGGCCCGAACCAGACCCGACCCGTGACCCGGCCTGAACCGGACCCGTCCAACCCTCGGGCCAGTCCCGGGCCCATGTCATACAACCCGGCGGCCCGACCGGGCCTAGGCCCGGCCCGAGTCCATCAATACTTGAAAGCGGGCAAAGGCAGCAAAAGTTTTAAAAAAATATCAAGACCAAACCGACCCATGTCCATGCATAGGGGCAAGTTCAAACAACCATAAATGCCACCACTTCGGGACAATGTGTAATTGACTAATTGGGCAAACATTTGTTTAGTTTTCATTTATTAAAAAATGTGATTAATCTTTGTCTGATAAGATATTCATATTAGAAACCAAGCCTTATTTAATTATTATAATGAGGATTAAGTATGTTTTTGTTTGGATTTTGAAATGAAATTTTCTAATATAATCTGAGTTGTTCAAGTCTAATCGAGCATTGCCTAAATTTGCCTTTTAAATGTCTACACTTATTAATCTCTAAATTTTATAATTGTTCAAATCTGTTGAAGTCTAATCTAATTGGTTTAAATCAATTTGGTCTTGTCTATTCTGTTTAAGTCTCATCTGTGATTGAAATAAATCCTAGCAAGGCACGTGCAGGATTTTCATAACAATGAGAAAATTGGTGCGGGATACTAAAGCCTATGAAAACGCTGTGCTAATTTCTGTAATCATATAGT